CAAGATCTTAAAAAAACAAGTAGAATTTCACCAGATGAAGAAGCAGCGATGGGAATTTAGAGATGGGATTCAATGATGAGGATGCAGTGGTGATAAAGAAGAAAAAGCTTTCAACATAATGTGAAAAAGAACTTGGGTTTAACAACAATATGAAGTGGATTTGAAGAAACAGCTTATGAGAAAGAATCTCTAAAGCCCTGGGCCCATGTGGGGTAAGAAAGGCATTGCCCTTTGACCTGGCTCTCTCCCTGGAGCTCTCGTCTTTGGTTTTTTTCCACCATCACGAGGCAGCTGCCATTGCTCTGAAGCCTTCAAAGTTTCTTTAACCTCCCTTTACAAGAAGCCAGGAGCAAGCTTTGCTCTCCCTGGCTGATAGGCATAGATTTTAAGCCCAGTCCAGACTGAGGTCATCACGCTCACCTTGGTTTCTCCCTCAGGGTTTCAGCAGAGCAATTTGGGAGAACATGAAGAACCCATTAAAGATCTTAGTCGCTCAGGGGTCATCCAGGCCACTGGTCTGTGTACTGATGGGAACAACAAGGTCTAAGGAGGTGATGTCAAGTGATTTCTAGACGATTAAATGATTTTCACAGCCCAAGAACTGCAGAAACCAGTCCATCCTCCGCCATCTCCCTATTGCTCCTCACTTTTTACTCCCTCTTCTCCAGATGGCAACATATGCATTGTGGTTCAAGTCCTAACTGTGCTGCTTCTCAGTCTTATGATATTGGATAAGCCGTCCTATTTTGCAGACTCAATTTCCTCATCTACAAAATGGGGATAATTGCATTAAATTAAGTAATGGATATAAAGCATTTAATTCAGTGTCTGTACCTGCAAGGTACTTAGCATACATGACACATCCGTGTTTCCCAGAGTGTAGGTCCTGTACTTCAGGTTGCATCTAAGATAATTAAAGGGGGTACCTAAAAAGAAAATCAAGTAGTAGACATAGAATTAGGAAGCTTCTCTTCATAGTTCTCTATCGATACTGATGTTATAGGACAGAGAATCCATTTGGTGGATGCTGTTGTTTGTTGTATTAAGTGCTATCAAGTTGGTTCCAATTTATAGTGACCCTGTATAGGGTTTGAACTGCCTACCTCATGGTTAGCAGTTCAGTGCTTATCCTACAATGCCATATCGGGTCTAATACTTGCTAATCCCTCTTTTTGATTAAAGGAAACTATTTTACACATTGTTGTTGTCAGGGCTCCTGACATCTGTATTGTTGCTGTTAAGTGTCATGGAGTTGGTACTGACTCAGTGACTCTCTGCACAACAGAGCAAAATGTTGTCCAATACTATACTATCTTCACAGTTGTTGTTACGTTTGAGTCCATTCCATCTCTTTGGGGTTCTTCCTGTCTTTTGCTGACCCTCCACTTTACCAAACATGATGTCCTTCTCCAGGAACTGGTTCCTCCTGATAATATGCCTGAAGTATGAGAGACAAAGTCTCAGCATCTTGGCTTCTAAGGAGCATTCTGGCTGCACTTCTTCCAAACAGAATTATTTGTTCTTCTGGCAGTCCATGTTTCTTTTAATATTCTTCTCCAATACCATAATTCAAATGTATTGGTTCTGCTAAGGTCTTCTTTATTCATTGTGCAACTTCCACATGCATATGCGGCGATTGAAAATACCATGGTTTCTGGCAGAAGCACCTTACTACTCAAACTGACATACGTGCTCTTGAACATATTGAAGAGGTCTTTTGCAGCAAATTCGTATACTGCAATATGTCATTTGATTTCTTGACTAGATAAGACTACCCACTGGTTGTTGTTGTTGTTAAATGTCATCAAGTAAGTTCCGACTCATAGCGATCTTGTATAGGGTTTCTGAGGAGTGACTGGTGGGTTTGAAAGGCTGGCCTTATGATTGACAGTCCAGTGTTTATCCTACAGCACTAGACCTGTTGTTAAGTGTCGTCAAGTCATTTCTGACTCATAACGGCCCTGCATAGCACTTCCGAGGAGCTGCTGGTGGGTTTGAACTGCCAACTTTGCATTTAGAAGTCTAGTGCTTATTCTATAGCACTGTAGAATATTGCATAATAATTTAAACTATTATGTTTAAGTAATACAGGCTTTTTCAAATAAATGTGTAGTCTCTCAGATTTTTTGCCCATCCTATCCACCTCCTGTCAAGATAGCGTCTAGCTGCATGAGTTGGGTGAAGTATATATAATCACACGAATAGAAGACCAGAGGAATCCTGGAACAACTTCCAATGGGCCTGACATTACCATGGTCTCCACAGTGTACCTCTGCGTTGGATTCCTGAACGAATGTTGAATTCCAAAATAGTGAAGTCATGCTCTGTTTTTCTGCTTTATCAAAGTCCATTAGTCCTCCCTTGGTGACTCACAGTCACCTCAGGCTGGATCAGCTCTGTGCTCCAGATTCCGTTAGGGTTCCACTTTGTTCTCAAACTCAGGACGCACCTCTGAACCACTTAGCCCTCCTGTCACCCTCTGACCCCACATGTAGCTACCCAGTTAGACTCAATCACCTCGAAGTGTCCTTCAAGGTCACATGGTAATGCCTGGACCTCTTCTGAGAAGACCCAAGGGAAATAGGGATGACTACCTGAGATTTCTTTTTGTCTAACTGCTTTCTCTCTGCTGCCCCTGCCCCATGTTGGATGAAAGATGAGCCCCGCCCCCTCCTGTGGCAGCCTCCTCCTAGAAAACTTCAGCTGCTTCCAGCCTCCCCTGGTCAGCAGATTTCTCAACTTTGGGACGTAGGTCTAAGATAAGGAGTCACCTTTAAGAATCCTACATCCTCCCTCTTTTCTCTGCCTGTGTTCCCTTCCTTTCCAAAGATCCACAGTGCAGGTGGGATAGGTTTTTCACTTCTTTGTCCTTCTCAAGGTATTGTTCACCATAGTGATTTCCAAGAATGGGTACAGGGTGTCTAAGGTACCATGATTCAGAGAATGATTTGGGGGTATAGAAATGCAAAACATAATGGTTTATTTGTTTCAAAAACACTGTAACCATTGAACCAGGTATATTCTTAGACAAGAGACAGTTTAGTTTGTTTGGGTTTTTTTGTCTTTTGTTTTTAATTTAAAGAAAACTAATATCAAGTAAAGGAGCTCTGGTAGCGTAGTGGTTACGAATCGGGCTGCGAACCTAAAGGTCAGCGGTTCGAAACTACCAGCCTCTCCGCTGGAGAAAGATGAGGCTTTCTACTCCCGTAAGGATTTACACCCTCGGAAACCCTGTACAGGGTCGCTATGGGTCGGAACCGACTCGACGGCACTTAACAACAACAACAACAATATCAAGTAAACGATATTTCTACTTGCTATATATATATGAGAGCCAAATTGGTAGTGGGAATGAGATGCATTGTGAAGATGAAACGTCGGTGGCGAAGCTTTGGAAACGCAGTATACACAGGAGGAACTGTGATGGACACATACATGGAAAAGACCTCCGTGTACTCTCAAAGAGGAAGACAGGTATGCACACAACCAATGAGACAATGAGAGATTGGGAAAACAAAACAATGTAGGACTTCAGGAAAGTTTAGGAAGGGTTCTTAGAAGTGGCAGTTGAACTGGGCATTATAGGATAAGAAGCTGCCTCCAAAGTTGGATTAGGGTCAACAAGATAACGCATTAAAAGCTGTAGAATGAGTAACAGTGTAAAGAATTGGTATTATTTCAGATCAGAGAGAGGGACAGAGTTCTAGGGAAAAGAATTTTTTTGGTGGCAACTAGAGAAGGCCAGAGGTGGAAGATGGTCCAAAGAGCCAAAATGACTGTAGTCAAACAGACACTGAGGGCCCTTGTTAAAAGGACCAAGAAGAGACACCATTTTGAGTTGGCAAAATTTGTGTCTTTGCAGCCACTCACTTGTCCTGCCAACACCACCCTCACTTAGTAGGAAGCGTCTCTGCTGTCCCCGCCATCTTTTGGGTTCTCCTGGTATCACAGGTAGATCTGTAAACCTCATTCACACTTGGGTCTTAGGAATTTGGCATTCTAAAATGGGTGCACAATTGTTATCATAAGATGGGGAACCTGAGGCCCAGAGAAGAGAACGAATCTGTTCAAGGACACACAGTAAACCTGAGGGAGAATCATGATGGGGCTCAGGTCTCTGAACTTCAACACCTCTTTGATCCTAGTGCTTTAGATTCATGCTGTTGCTAAATCCCAGGGGCCTGTTCCAAAATCTACAGGATATGGGGCATTTTTAACAAAGGCCACAGGTAAATCTAACTCTGCCAGCCCAGTCCCAAATATTTGGGAAGCTGTATCCTGGGCCCTTTCCCCTAAATGGACCATGGGACCCAATAGACTGGAGTAATGCTAATGCTCCCAGGTCTGAATTTCTCATTATCCAATAGTTGCATTTTAGAATCCAGTCTTCTATGGGAAAAAATGCAGTAATGAGAGCCCAGAAAGAAGAGTACAGACCTTAGTAGAACCACTTAGGGCAACTTGACCTCCCTCAACCTGTCACCTCATATTTCCACTGGAGATCTGTGTCTAGATCACAATAGCAGAGTTGGCCCATGATATGAGCTTGTAGAAATGCTGTTAGGCATACATGACCATTTCAATAAATAAGACCACTACTGTCTTGGCCTACCTATATTGCCAAAGGTGGACTGAAGTTGGGAAGCCACTACTCCCTTTATATAGAGTTCCTACTGTACGCCCCATTTCATTTCTCCTGGCCAACTTCACTGCTCATTTCCTACCTTTCTGGCCCCTGGATTAACATATCAGGTATATGCCCTTTCTACTTCTACATCCCAAGACTCCAAAGCCAAACAAACTTTCATCAGCTCAAGAGTTAATCATCAGCTTTTTCTCATGTAAATGAGAACAGCAAAGTCTTGCTTGGTCAATTCCCTCTCAAAATCTTGGTTTAATGCTCTTCTTTGCTGGCCTTGTGCCTGTGGCTGCCGGCTCAACAGCTGTCTCTGAGGCCAGCAGCAACTGTGAAGTCCAGAGAACTCAAGCAGACCCACCAGATGAGTGGGAATTGGGTGCACCCAAGCAAGACCCTGATGTGGGCTGTTTGGGTCCTTGCAGCTGCCACCAAAGGTGAGCTGTCTTGTGGGAGAGGAGTCTTGGAAGATGGGGAGCTACTCCTTGAAAGATTTTCCACTAACTATACTTATTGATAGGAGCTCTGGTAGTGTAGTGGTTATGAATCGGGCTGCGAACCACAAGGTCAGCAGTTCAAAACTACCAGTTCCGCGGGAGAAAGATTATAGGCTTTCTGCTCCCGTAAAGATTTATAGCCTGGGAAACCCTGTATAGGGTCACTATGAGTACAGGGTTGCTATGAGTTGGAACCGACTCCACAGCACATAACCACCACCACCACACTTCTCAGGGGCCTCTGCGCCCCCATGGAGAACATCTGACCAATATGCTAGTGTTGCTGAGAGTCTCATCCAGAGCCTCTTCTTTAGCGAATAGACAATGGCAGACTCTGGGGGTTGGGGACTTGCAGAGTACTCTGTCCTGGCACTGGGAGGTGTGGAATGGAGCTTGCATCCCTGTAGCTCTGGTTGCAAAGACAAGACTTTTCCTCACTGAAATGTTATTACAACAAGTAGTGCCAGAATGTTCACTTAGTATGCTGCTAAGTAAATAGATGGACCGTTTCCTTCACAATGTTCTCATTACATGTGGAAATTGAGAATCATGGCCAAGTTTAGACCTCTGGAGGTAGACGAGATGATTTCAGGTGGCATCTGGGTGAGATTTTTTATTTTAATTAATGTACAGTGATGGTGTGCCATGGAGTCAGTTCCGACTCATAGAGATTCTGTGTAGGGTATCCAAGGCTGTAAATCTTTACAGGAGCAGAAAACTTCATCTTTCTCCAGCGGAGTGGCTGGTAGATTCTCACTGTTGACCTTGTGGCTAGCAGCCCAGCTCATAGTCCACTACGCTACCAGAGCTCCTTAATAAATTAATATTGCTATTGTTGTTAAGTGCTATTGAGTTGGTTCCAACTCATAGGGACCCTGTGTAGAGTTTCCAGGAGCAGCTGGTGAGTTAAACTGCTGACTGTGTGGTTCAAATTGACCTTGTGGTCCAGTGCTTATCCTACAGTGCCAGTGTAGACATATTTAATTAATGTGTATATATTTACTAATGGAGTCCCTGAGTGGTGCAAATGATTAAACACTAGACTACTACCTAAAAGGTTGGTAGCTTGAACCCAGGTACCTCAGGAGATATGCCTGGTAATCTGCTTTCGATCTGCTTCAAAGCTCTGGGAAGAAGTTCTGTTTGGCACACATTGAGGCTTCATGAGTCAAATTGACTTGACATCAACAAATACCATATTTATTCATGTATGTTTCTTTTAATATACATATACCTAACTTATCAAAAACCACAACTGCATAGATGTTAATGCTTAAGACTCCTCTAGGTAAAAAATTTAAAGAAATCTTTTTTTATTTGATGTTAAGAAACATTGAGAATCAATAAACATATAGCTGATAAACAGATGTGCCAATAGTTGTACTGTTGTTTTGTTGAGTGCCTTGGAATTGGTTCCAATTCAATAGTGACCCTGTATAGAGTTTTCAAGGAGCAGCTGGTGGTTTTGAACCACTGACCTTGTGGTTAGCAGCCCAGTGCTTATCCTACACACCATACCAGAAGAAGCTAAATCTATACTCAATGGTGGAGGCAATCTGGATTCACTGAGGGGATATCCACATACTTCCTGTTGCTCAGTCTCTGGGTGGGGAAAGAGCACCCCCCACTGGGCTGACTCCCTGCCTCTTCCCAGTCATCTCCTGAGTCCTTCCCATGTGTTCCCTCAGGGCTTGCTGCAGATGCACCATCCACGAATACCAGGCTCGGATGGGTCCGGGGAAAGCAAGTCACCGTGCTGGGAAACCCCATGCCTGTGAATGTGTTCCTTGGGGTCCCCTTTGCTGCACCCCCTGTTGGACCCCTGCGATTTGCCACTCCACAGCCAGCATTGCCCTGGAAAGGCTTCCGAGATGCCACTTCCTACCCTAACTTGTAAGATCAGCCTTAGTCTCATGGGTGGCCTAGGAGTCTGGGAGCTGGGGCAGAGTCCTAAGGGGAAGTGTGGGTCATGCTGCCCAGTGGAAAAGGGGAGAAGAGGTAGATGACGAAAGGAAGGCTACGGAAGTGGGCTAATGCTTTAGTCATCTCTCGGTTCCCAAACAAGATGTTCTCCAGCATTGTTGGAGGCACTGTTCACAGTATGTAGAATGAGACTTCCTGAATCGGAATCTCCAGAAACAGTCCCAGGGAACTGTATTATCTGAAAGTTGGCTGGGGATTCTGAGGATTTGGACAGTACTGGGTCTTTGGGCTAGAAGCTATCGTCTAGGTATTTCTGTGTGACTTCAGGCTTGTGCCTCTATTGTCAAACTGGCTAAGATTTTAGAGGGAAGAATGGCACAATAGGGGGTTTTAGCCCAAAATAAAGATGAACAGGGATGTGCGGTGGCTCCATATGATAAGCACTAGACTGCAAACCATAAGGTCAGCTGCTCAAACCCACCAGTTGCTTCATGGGAGAAAGATGAGGATTTTCTGATCTCACAAAAATTTAAAGGCTTGGAAACCTATTCAGGATTGCTGTGAGTCAGAACCGACTCACCAGCACTTAACAACAGCAATAACAAAGAAGAACATTCTAGCAGTCAAAACTGTGCCCAATACAATGTCTGGTCAATAAGGGGAACTCTATGAATGCCTCAATGAACGTCTCATTTCTTCATCCATTCCATTTATTTATTCATTCATCTAATATTCAATGACCATCAACTCAATATTTGGTTATCAGGCCCTGGAAGGAGCTCTGGTAGTATAGTGGTTATGAGTCAGGCTGCTAACCTCAAGGTCATCAGTTAGAAGTTACCAGCTGTTCCACAGGAGAAAGATGAGGCTTTCTGCCCCCATAAAGATTTAAAGCCTCAGAAACCTTAAATATTGTTGCTATGACTCCATGGCATACCACCATTAGGTTCTGGGAAACACCACTGTGAATTAATCAGGTTTATCCTCGAGGAGCTTACAGTTTGGTGATGAGGAGGGCAGAAAAGAGGTCGTTGTTAAATGCCGTCAAGTCGATTCCAACTCAGAGCAACCCTGTATAAAGTTTTCATTTCAATTCCAACTCAAAGCAATCCTGTATAAAGTTTGAATTTGAACCACTGATCTTGTGGTTCAAACAGACCTTTCGATCCAGTGCATTATCCCACAATGCCACAGACATAAAAGATAGTGGATATTACAACATAATTTCTGATAAAAAATAAAAGACACAGAGGGGCAAGAGGTATAAGTACTAGTCAGAGAGAGAATTATAATGATAGTTTTCTGTTGCCCAAACTGCAGACTACTCTATTAAACAGAAAGGAGGAAAACAACAACAAAAATAAAACAACTAACATTGAAGGAGCTCTGGTAGCATAGTGGTTACGAATCAGGTTGGGAACCGCAAGGTCAGCAGTTCGAAACTACCAGCAGTTACGAGGGAGAAAGATGAGGTGTTCTGCTCCCGTAAAGATTTACAGCCTCGGAAACCCTGTGCAGGGTCGCCATGAGTCGGAACTGACTCCACGGCACTTAACAACAACAACAACAACAACATTGAATACTTAGTATAATAGAAGTAATCACATATATAATCTCATTAATATTACTGTGTGTCAGACTCTGTGTTAGGAGGGAGGTATATGGTACAAAGGGGACTAACACAGAGCCCTGGACTTTTAGCTGCTCAGAGATGAATTGAGGAGACTGATAACTCTCAGTCTTTATAACAAGACTAGGAAAAATTCCAGGAAAGAACACAAACTGTGTCTCCAAAGAAGACACTAGAGAAGTCTCAGAGGGCTTCTTGGAGGAGGTGGTAATTGGTCCAAATTGGTACAGAAAGGAAAAACCAAGGGGAGAGCGCAGTCCAGGCAGAGGAACCAGCTTGAACAGAGGCCTGGATGCAGGAATCTCCCCGTAGGTTAGGCTTAGCTCCTTGTAGGGAGATATGAAACGTCCTCTACAGTTTAGGGGATAGTTGAGCCAGTCCTAGTCTTATGTGTGTGTCTATATACACTGGTGGGTGTATGCATGGACATATGGTGGGGATCAATGGGGTGAAAAATATTCAGCACTTTGTGATTTCCTACTCAGGAACCAGATCAAAGGAAATACAATTGTGTTTTGTTTTTCAGCTACCTGGGTAAG